AAAGCAACGGGTCACGCCTGGCGGGAAGGCAGCGTCGTAGCGGACTCGAGCTTGCTAGACAGCAGCACGGCATCCAGAATTCAAGAGCAGTCGTCGCCGGGCAGGGCTGGGGTCATGGGCCTGATCCCTGCACACAGAGACAGGCCCTAGCGCCGCGAGTGGGACACCCCAAACAGCAACCATCGGCCAAACAGTCGAGCTCTCTGTCCACCAGCCACCCGTCCAGTACACTTGCACCCCTACGCCCGTCACCATGGCTGCCGATATCGCTACCCTCTCGCAGCTGCTCCAGGCGTCGCTCGACCCGCGGCAGAACAAGCAAGGTGCGTAGCAGTGTCTCCCGCAGTGCTCATGTGGTGTAGCCTGCATTTCTGGAAAGAATGCGCGTATGCTTGGATACGCAGGATACAGGCAGACTAGCCTTTCTATGCCTCATTATATCCGCATTCGTCTGGAATCCAGACTACCATCTTGCCCCTCCATCCCCCACACCACGCAACATGCGATGCTAACTTTTCACAGCGGAGGCCGCAATCAGCGAAGAGCAGAAGAAGCCCGGCTTCTCCCTCTCCCTCCTCCAGATCGTCGCCTCGGACGCGAACCCCCAGACGACCCGACTCTCGGCCGCCCTCTACTTCAAAAACTTCGTAAAGCGGAATTGGGTCGACGAGGATGGCAACTACAAGCTGCCCGAGGCCGAAGTCGTGGCCATCAAGAGGGAACTCATTGGCCTCATGGTCTCGGTACCTGCCAGTCTGCAAGCACAGCTCGGCGAGGCCATTAGCGCCATTGCCGACAGCGACTTCTGGCAGCGATGGGACACTCTAGTCGACGACCTCGTCTCGCGCCTCACACCCGACAACACCGTCGTCAACAACGGCGTACTCCAAGTCGCACATTCCATCTTCAAGCGCTGGCGGCCGCTGTTCCGCTCCGACGACCTCTTCACTGAGATCAACCACGTTCTGTCCAAATTCGGCACTCCCTTCCTCCAGCTACTCGAGAACACCGACGCCCTCATCACAAACTCCCAAGGCAACCCCCAGGTCCTCAAGAGCGCCTTCACAACGCTAGATCTCCTAGTCAAGCTGTTCTACGATCTTTCTTGCCAGGATCTGCCCCCCGTCTTCGAAGACCACATCGGAATCATCTCAGGCCTTCTCCACAAGTACCTTGTCTTCGACAACCCCGCCCTACACACCGATGATGACACAGAGTCGGGGCCGCAAGAGTACGTACGCGCGGGCATCTTCGAGGTGCTCATGCTCTACATTCAGAAATACGAGGACGCATTTGGGTCGCACCTGGGTCCTTTCATCGAAAGCACCTGGAGTTTCCTCATGTCGGTTGGCCTCGAGACCAAGTACGACATCGTGGTCAGCAAGGCGCTACAGTTCCTCACCGCCGTCGCATCCACACAACATGCCGAAGCCTTCAACAACGAGTCTGTCCTAGTCCAGATTATCGAGAAGGTCATCTTGCCAAATCTTACTCTGCGCGAGTCTGATGTGGAATTGTTCGAAGATGAGCCGATCGAGTTCATCAGGAGAGACCTGGAGGGGTCCGACAACGATACGCGACGACGTGCTGCCACCAACTTCCTGCGTAAACTCATGGACCGCTTCGAGGGCCTTGTCACGACTACTTCCCAGAAGTACATCGACGCCTACCTCCAAAACTATGCGGCAGACCCTCAAAACAACTGGAAGTCGAAGGATACCGCAGTCTACCTCTTCACCGCCATTGCTGCCAAGGGAACCGCTACCGCTGGCCAAGGTATCATGAGCGTCAACGAGAACGTCAACATTTTCGAGTTCTTCCAGACACACGTCGCAGCTGACCTTCAGGCCCAAAACGTATCGCCCATTCTGAAGGTTGATGCTATCAAATTCCTGTACGTCTTCCGCAGCCTGCTATCACCAGACCTTTGGCGCGCTGCTTTCCCCCTGCTGGTGAACCAGCTGGGCAACGACAACTATGTCATTCACACATACGCTGCCATCGCTGTCGAGCGTGCTCTGTACATGACAGACGACAAACGGCAACCCATAATACCCAAGTCAGACGTTGTTGGCTCATCGAAAGACTTGCTGGCGCACTTGTTCAAGCTTATCACAAAGAGCTCTGCCCCGGAAAAGATCCAGGAAAACGAGTTCTTGATGAAGTGCGTTATGCGCGTACTTATTTTCATACGCGATGATGTGCTGCCCATATGCGAGTCGATTCTTCAAAGCTTCATCAACATCGTCAAGGTCATCAGGCACAACCCTAGCAACCCTCGCTTCCAGTACTACATGTTCGAAGGTATAGGGGCACTTGTCCGCTTCTGTGCCCCAAAGCATCCTCAGTTCTTCGAGGAAAAGTTGTACGAGCCCTTTGCAACCTGCTTGCAGAACAACGTTGAAGAATTCTCTCCGTACATATTCCAAATCTTCTCCGCGCTGTTAGAAGCAAACCCTTCAGGCCAATTGAGCGAATACTACAGGGGTGTATTCGGCATCATCCTCAAGGGTGCGGTCTGGGAGCAGCGTGGTAACGTTCCTGCGTTAGCCCGACTGTTGAGTGCAATGGTTGCTCGCGACGCACAGAACATCGTGACAAGCAGCCAATTGGAGCCTATTCTGGGTATTTTCCAGAAGCTGGTCACTAGCAAGGCTCACGAGACATACTCGTTCGAGCTGATTGAAGCTGTCGTTGCGCACATCCCAGCGGATGCGCTACAACCCTACTTTGTCACCATCCTCCAGCTAATGCTCACAAGACTGTCGAACATGAAGACAGAGAACTTCCAGCAGCGCTTCATTGCGTTCTATCACTTCGTTTCAGCGCGACTGGATAAAGGACTTGGCGCCGACTTCTTCATCAAAGAGTCCGACAAGGTCCAGAATGAGTAAGTGAAAGATTCTCCAAATTGTAGGCATCAATTACTAACTTCGCAACAGCATCTTCAAGCCTATCTACTTGACTGTCATTCTTCCCGACACCCAGAAGCTTGCCCGCCCAACCGACCGCAAGACCGCAGTTGTGTCGTTCACCAAGACCCTGGGCGACGCGGAAGCTTTCGTTAGCCGTTACCCCAAGGGTTGGACCCTTACCACACAGCGCTTGATCGAGCTACTGGTCAACCCGCCTATGCCTACCTCCGCAGATGACATCATCCCCGATGCCGATGTCGACGAGCTCGGTTTCGGTGTCGGCTTCACCCAGCTGAACACCTGCAAGAAGGCTCCACGTGATCCCTTCCCTGAAATCACCGATGTGAAGGCTTGGGTGGCTCAATATTTGAAAGATGCGGATGCCCGTCACGGCGGCCGTATCGTCAAGATTGTGCAAGAACGTTTGGACGATGTTTCGAAGCAAGCTTTGGCTGCTTACTTGAGCTAGACCTGTGGAGATGTTTAGGAGACACTTTAAAATATCTGTGAGAACAGATGCGCATGATAGCACGCGGGGGGTTAGGCGCAGGTAAAACAGTGGAGCCGGCTTTCTAGGATTTAGGACATGATACCAGGTAGAAGGAACAAAGCTGAATATATTCGCAATGCACATTATGTGCACAACCCAGCCACTGAACCCCATCAAACGTCCTGCACCTCATAGCTAACCTTAGTAATCCCCTTCTGCCTCTTAATATTCCTCAAAACAACCCTCCCACACTCCTTCAACTTCTGCACATGCGTCCCGCCACACGGATAACTCCCCTCACTCCCTATCTCCACAACCCTAACGCCATCCTCCTCATCTCCCTTCAGCGTCTCCATAACCCCCGTACACTCCTTCTTCGCCTTCTCCTCATCCCAGAAATGGATTTTGACATCCATGTCCGCGGCAACCATCTCGTCGACTCTTGCTTGAATTGCAGCTTTCTTGTCTCCCGGGATGAGGCCTGAGAACTCTACAAATGCGGCGCCGGGGTAGTGCGACGCTTTTCCGTCGACGACGTCGGGAGCGATTGTACCAGTGGTTTTTAGATGCGCGACGGCGAGACCGATGACGTGGCCTGCGGTGTGGATCCGGGAGTGTAGGTGCCGTTTCGAGGTGTCGATTTTCTGCTCTGCTTCTACCTCTCTTCCGCTTTCTTGGAATCTCTTGTCGGAAGGCGAGAAGACGCCCATGTGCAAGATCGCGGGATCGATTTTGCGGACTTGGTGCACGTGGAATGTTGTGCTGCCCGTTGAGATGGTTCCAACATCCGAGGGTTGGCCGCCGCCTTGGGCGTGGAAGATGGTTGAGGGGGTGGTTAGGACATAGGGTTCGGTTTCTGGTGGTGGTTTGAATAGGGATTGGGTTTCTGGTGATAGGGATGATAGTGCGTGGATTGAGGTTATGGCGGAGGTATGCGTGTGTTTTTGGCCGTCTTTTTGGTAGAGGGGGTCTGTTCGTTGAGATAGAGGGTCTGCCATCTTGATGATCGGTCGAGATGTATCAAAGACGAAATGCGTGTCAGTTGTATCGTAGATGTGGCGGGCTGATGATGCCCGTTTTGGTGTTTGTGTTATGGTGCCGCGGAAGAGGATTGCGCACGCTGGATGCCTGGAAAGTCGACAGTACATGCGACGTTTTATGCTCGCCTGCTCTGATAGATGGTCGATTGAGTCACTTGAAATTTTGGAGGGCGTAACTTTAAAAGGAATGTTCGAGATACTTTGGAAGCCCGAAGTATGGGTCGGAACTGCGCCCTTGAGGTTTACATGCGCTTTACCGCATTAGGCAGGTACCAACTCGTGTTCTGACGTCTTCTCTTCTCGTAGATGAAACAGGAGCGTGGCATATAGATGTACGCATTGGAATTAAAGCCAAAAAATTCATTCTTCACTACATTCTTAATCGCCGCTGTGAGAGTGGGTAGCTACAAAAGGTGCAGCGTTGACGATGTCATCGCCGATACCTATCATCCTCTGACTCTGGGGTCCTCTTTCCCCTAATCTCTTCTAAACCGCACTTCCTATGAAGATGACCCCAAGCATAAAAAGCTCCGACATACACCATGAGGCCATTGTTCACTCTGAGCATTCCGAACCACCTTGACCGTCAAAGTTCATGTGCTGCCGTCCAATCCTCGACTCAACATTCAGCACATTCTTCAGGCCCGCTTCTTCGCAATGTCGTCGCAAGAGATCTTGTAGGTCGAGGTCCGAGCCCCACTTCCATGCCATGATACCGATTGCCAGGGGCCTCATGACTGTAGCGGCCTTGAAGTTGCTGTCGTCATCTGCGCAACCGCACTGATCAGTGCTAAGCGTCAAAAAGGCCACGGAGGTGTATGGGAAGAAAGTGCATTCTTCACAGGCTTTCTTCGTCAAGCCTTTGAAAGTTTTTGCACGCCGGCGTGTCGTAACAGCCTCTTTGTTCCAGAACGCATTTGTACGGAAGTCGTAAGTATCTCGGTCGAGACCAGGGGTTAGTGGGACGAGTCGCTTGCACTCCATCCTGTCGCTTGTTCTGGAGTATCCGTCGCACTCTGAGTACACAGACACGAGGATAGTCTTATCAGCGAAAAGGCTCTCGATGAGATCATCAACGCTGACAATGTCGATATCCGGGTGTAATGTCGGGAGCATGAAGTGCAGATAGGGACGCTGTCGCTTCTGGAGCCAGCCCTCGCCGGTGATGAATTGGCTGGACTTCTCGAATGGCTGGGAATTGCATGTGAGAATACCGTACTTGTGTAATTCGATGAGGCCAGGTACGAGCGGCATGGACTCTTCGTTGAGGGGAGCAAGGTGGTTTGGATTGACGTCGACTTCCCCGCGGATGAAGAGGAGGTTCAGCTGTAAGAGGGCGTTCCAGTCTGGCGCAGGCGCCCAGGCGTCCATCTGGCGCCTCGAACGGCAACTTCGGCATAAACCTAGATCGCTGCCTATACCGTTGTATGGCGTGGTGACACATCCCCACGGCAATCGAGGTTAGTTGGCTCATCGCAGCTCGTGCATGCAGTCATCGCGGATTGTTGTTGCGAGACTGTGACTCGATCAAGGTGAGGTAAGGAAGTACGGAAGAAAGAGTAGTGTTGTCTTATCAAGTAGGTGCACATTCGCTTGTTTATCTACCCTCGCGTGTTGATTGTGTCACCAATGACGCAGGCAGACACTTCCCCATCCGTCGGCCCTCGCGACCTCCATCGCTATCGCTATCACACTTTCCCTCACCCGCGCATGCCACCTTCCCTAGACCCAGAGCGCCGAAACCCAATTGCGGATAGGGAAGCCGCGACGAGGCACGCCGGATGAATCTCAGAACGTGACGAGCTTACGAAAGATATTTGGTAGCCACCTCGCGCCTCAAGGTCGCTCGATCATAGCGCTGGCCGCCCTCATTTGACCAGTGAGCAACCACAGGGCTCTGCGTCTTCCGCCCCTCAAAGATGTCATGCGCATCAGAACGGCTGGTTTCCTGTAGAGTCTTTTTGGCTACCGGAGGGTCTTTGTCGAAATTCGGGACGTTATCGCGCTCTAGGGGCCTAGTCGAGAAAGCTTTGGAAAGCCTGGGGTTGAGCGGAGAGGAAGACTGATGGGCAGACGGTACGGATTGGCGAACGCGAGGTCCCAGAGGTTGTTTTACTCGGAAAGGCGAGCCTTCGATATGCGCGTTGACAGGATGGTATCCGGGAGGTGCTAGCTTGCGCATGATGGGTGTATCTTCGCGGGGAAAGGACAAGGGACGCGGAGTGGATGGTTGGTGTTCGTCGCCTTGACATTCGCCGCCGTCGATGTCCATCTCCACAGCCACTTCGCTCTCCGGCCAGTCCTGCTCGGTCTCTGAAGCTACGACAGTCTTTGAGTTGTGGTTCAAGACGAGGAGCCAGGTCGAGACGCCTAGCAGCGTCATCAGGAAGAGTGTATAGGTCTGACCATTGGGGTCAAGCATCCAGTATTCGAGACAGCTTCCACGGAACAGATAGGCGAAGAAACCTTTGGATGAGTCGATAGTGTCTTGAACGAAGCGCTCGAGACGAGTAGGCGGCTCTTGATTGATAAGAAAGCCTGACATGATGTTATGAGGCTGCAGTCAATTATTGGTGATCGGATCAAGTGGTAGGAGATTGGACTCAAAGATCAAGCGGTCGGAAGTTATAGGCGACCGCGAGCGTTTGCTGTGATGTATCGGCGCGTGATTACTTCACGGTCCTCTCGATTGAGTGAATCGCTTGTTTCTCAACTCTTGTCCATGTCTCATGTGATGAAAGCCAGCCAAACAACACGAGCGTTGACAACATGGCCGTTTCATTCCTTCCCGTCAGGCTGTGATTTGCCACGTAGTTGCTGCGGCAACAACTGCACTCTTCAAGCGTCCTCCAGTATCAACGTCCCAAGATCCTAGACGTTCTATGTAGTAGTACACCGCAATTTGAATGCCCCACGTCTCTGCGCAACGGTACCTCTATCCTAGAATCGCCCCCCAAAAGAAAGCCTCATATCGCTGTCAACACCCTAGCTCCAACCAGCCTTCCCAAACGCCGCATTCACTGGCGGTCTCTTTGACTGCGGCCTCGGTAAAGTGCTTGTAGGAACACTGAATAGCGGTCTCCGCGCTGGAGGCACCTCCTCCGGTCTTCTTGCTCCAAACACCCGCTCCTCCACGAACGGCTTCTCCATACCTTCTCTTTTCCATCTTTCTTGAACTTGATCGAACTCCATGCCTGGTGGAAACATGGGAGTCTCTTCGCGTCTGTGTCTGTATGGCGCCGATCTGAATGGATCAGCGGGCTTTGGCGTACTTTGCAGCCGGAAGATGAAGCGGGCGAGGCTATACACGACTCCGATACTGATTGTCAGTAAAAGGGTGTGGATGAATTGGGGGTGTTTATCGTAAAGCGCGAAGAAGGCAAGGACGATTCCAGTCTTGAGCTCTAGCCACACTAAGAACGCGAGAATTAGGGCTCCGGTATTTGGCAGTAGCTGCTTCGCCGATTCGAGCATTGCTTTCAATAGGCCATGAGATGACGCGCGCATCCAGAGAAGGGACATTGTAAAACTGGGTTGAGGGGTGTATGTGTCTGGCTGCTGGTGGACATTTAAAGAATACCTGCAGAAGAAACGAGAACATATGTCTTTCACTAGAGTTATGAACGTGCTTTCACTGGACAGCACAAGCTCTTCTAGGAAGTAGACAAACCGTCATCCCCTGGTTCTGCTGTCTTTATTTACAATGCCCTCGTAGCCTCCGTGAATCTTGTACATTCGTACTATGCGAATACGTTGGTGCGGCAGTTTGCCATAACAACGGCACCACAATGTGTCAAGAACAGGTCGATATCGTGCTCAACATGTTCATCGTTTCACTCTTCCCTTTTCACATCGCTCGATCCCGGTTCAAGTGCGTGCAGCATGGCCCCCACTACGCGGGATCTTGAACCAAATGCCATCGACCATTTCTTCACTGTGATGATGGCGCTAGCCGTCGCTTTGATAGTACTGCTCTTCATCATCATAGTCAGATATGAGAGGCGCAATGCCTCGTGGATACGACGCGGGCTGAGGGCGGGGAATGAGAATTGGTTTATTCTTAGCTATGGAACAGGTATGCGTGTGGCGCATGTGGATACTGATGGGATAAGTGTTGGTTATGAAGAGATAACATAGCCGTGGAATGCGTTTGGTCTGTATGGTAGAGTTGTCTTTGGCGCGATTTATGTAGCGAGGTACGTATAATACTTTCGCATCTCAATCATGTATATGAAGGATTTGTCTAGCTTGGTAGCATGAGAGCATCAATGTGATGAATTTGACATACACACAGCCTCGAAGTCCAGCGCATAGACATCATGATAGACTCACACTAACGGTACATCCGAAAGTAGAACCGACCAAGAAGAGAGTCAATCCAATAGCCACTTTCGATTAATATCCCGTGTGCTCTGTTGTGGAGGTGCCCCGATCCTTCTTGACTCTCATCGTCCCTGTCTACGCGGATCGGGAGCGTAGAAGCCCGTAGTAGATGTAGTGGTTGTCGTTCTGCCTCGCTCCACTTCGGTGCCTCCTCTGTCCGCACTTCCATTTCCTACCGCAAGAGTAGACATTACGCTAGCTAGCGACTGGCCGCGCGGTTTGGTGGACGCGCTGGGAGCGCTCATGCTTCCCGCACTCGTTGTTGTGCCACCCTGAGCTGCTGTATCTCCTTGCGTCACATCCGACTGCTGCTGACCGCGCTGTACCGGCGACCGCGAGGTTTTAGGAGGAGGAAGAGCACGATACCGCTTCCTAAGCTCCTTAAGCCCAAGTTCGGTTGTAGCAATCAACTCTTCTTCTGTTTCGACAGCAAGCTCGAGTTCGTTCCATAACTTATGAACCTCTTCGTCCGGTTGTGAGCTCTCGTTGCCTCGACCCTCTGGTATGCGTATAGGGAAGAATTCGGGTTGTGGCTGTGGGTTCTCGTCGGGGTACATTGGCGACTGGGGTGGTGCGCCCTCAACGTGGGTATACAATCCGACACCTGTTATGTAGGGGGTTGTGCCGGGAGGGCAAGTGCTCTTGAAGGCACCGATCAAGTCGGCGTTCATGCGAGCTTTACGAGCGGCTGCCACATCGGGTGGGAGAGGCGTGGTACTCGTGGGTGGCTTTTCGAATACCGGTGGGTTGGTGGCGTTCTGCTCACGCGCGGCTGAGGAGGATTGGTCTGCTGATGAGATCATGGCGGCCCGGTCTGGGTGAAGATGATGTGAAATCGCACTCTGCCGCATGTTAGTGCTCTTTTCCGGTCTTGCTTTGAACATTGTTCGGTTGGTGAAGGTTTGCAGCTGACAGCAATAAAACGTTAGTATCGAGGTTTTGGTAGTTCGCTGTAATGTTTGGGGTTGTGTCGCTTTCCAATCGCTCGCATTCACTACACAGCTTGCGGTGTTGAGAAGGAGCCATTGCGTTTGCTGTCTTTCCGCGGACGCACTTACTCCAATTGAAGATATACATACCTGAGGTCCCTGTATCCGTTGAGCGTTCCTACCATAGTGTCGTGGATGAGGGCAGCGACGATGCTCTCGTCTACTCGATTAGGGGACCACCAACGTCGCGTGAAGCTGACCTCGGAAGTCGCGCCGTTATCGATAACAACCACCCCACTATGCCCAATACGTCATAGTTCCAGACTTCCAGCCTCGCCAACACGCAGGCCATGCAGGCGTCCATCAACGCGTCATGACGAGATCATCAACGACCCGCTCCCGATGCAAGCTCCACAGCATCCAGGAACGCGCCAAAAGGAAAAAGTGCTGACATCAAGACAAAATGGCATTGGCTGCTTTCGCTCCGCGGAAGGCGGCTCGTCACGGTATACCATGACCTCAGATCTTGTGCTTACACGATGGTTGCTGCTGTCCTGTGACACATGCTGTAACCATGCAGTCTACTAAGTTATTTAGAGGTGCCGTCTCCCTGCGTTGCTGCAAGTCATCTTTTGTAACTACATCATCCTTACCACGCGTATCCGCTGCTAGGATCACTTCTACCACATCCAGAGCTTATTCGTCAACTCCTCCAAACAATAACGACCGTCTCAAAGGCCCAGTTGAAACATCCTCCACCATGCAGTCAGTAAAGAATGCCATTGCCGAGAATCTCGGCAAGGTTGTCTCTGGCGCCCATGACCTCGCACCTGCGGATCAGCGATTCTCTCTCGAGGAAGTGCCAGATCTCAGCGGCAAGGTCGCCGTTGTGACTGGCGGCTCAGAAGGAATCGGTTACGGATGCACACATACTCTCCTCTCCCACAACATCAAGAAGCTCTTCATCATCTCCATGAGCGAAGACATCATCGACGATGCACTCAAAGCCATCAAGGAAGAGATGGGCGAGGACAAGGCCAGCAGAGTCGAATGGATGAA